AGTAGCGTCATAAATGTCACACACTCAATAGTTAATGAAAATGACACATACGACGTCGGCGGCATGTAAAATTACGTTCGGCAATTGCGCGTAAAAATCAGCACCGCATATTCGACCGCTGCTCTGAGGCGAAGACACCAAAACCAGTAGGGACGAAACCTGAGCGATCATGGGTGTCGCAGGAGGCCAACAAAAAGGCCCACGTCAACAAGTATAGAGTCCGCAGAGCAAGCAAAAAGAACCCAAGACCAACGCGGCGGGCTTATGGACGACCGGTCGTGGCTCGGCAGGCTGACATATAAAACCCCGGCCGGAGCACAGAACCATCTGAGCAAAGGGGAATTATCCAAAACCATGAATTAATACCCCTGTACGATGAAGAGTGTGCGGGCCGGTTAACGACACGAGCCTCGAAAGGAGTGAATAATCCCCCATAAGTGAGACCAAAGGGAGACAGCCCTCAATCAAAATAGATGGCCCCTGAGCACCGAGTGTCTCCGCGCCTCGCCTATAGTCCTAGTCCTAGTCCTAGTCCTAGTCCTAGTCCTAAGTCCTAGCAACAGCACACGGCCCTCCAAGCAAGTAGGGAGAACCCGAGACTTAAATGAAGCTCCCCTGAGCAACTCAGTGTGTCCTGGCATATGGGGCTTGGAAAAAGTGTGAAGATCCTTTCGGACGACTGGGGAGGATCCGCAGAGGAAAAGCTGATCGATCAGCAGTGCTCAGGCATGAAGGCAGACAGAGTTCCAACGGCACATTGGACCTCACGAGAAAATGCAAGAGATCAGAGACAACGTGGAAAGTTCCTTAGCGATCAGATTTACCCGGCAAGTGGACATATAGGAAAGGCCAGGAAACCAACAGCGCAATGGCTCTAGACAGCGTGATGAGCACCAAAGTTTCCCCCAAACAACACTTTTTCAATCACCAAAAAATGAGCTTGGTCTGCTTACGAGCTCTTTACTTTTGCTAGCAATTGTTCTTGGTCGTCTGTGGGCCCAAAGGCTCCCAATTTCGTTGTGTTTTTGTTGTAAGAAAACTTCATCCGTTCGGCCGGATATGGGCCCTTCGGAGCCTTCAGGTCCCTCGGCATGATCCATTGGGCATGGTCCCGTGCCTCGCTTCCCCTCCTGCATTCGCCACCGGTCCGAGCAGCTTAATAGAAGGGCCCGCCAAGAACATAGGGGGTCATCCATTCAAAAAAGAAATACTCAAGACACAATGTGTAGGGCTTCAGAGCCCTACACATTGTGTCTTGAGTATTTCGGTCGAGTGCGCCCGAGCAGGTTAACATAAAAGGGCCCCATCAAGAGCGTAGGGCCCTCCATTCAAATAGGAAGTACCCAAGACCCAATGTAGAGGGTCTCAGAATGATCGAGTGTGCCCGAGCAGGTTAACAGATGAGGTTCCCGAAAAGAGCGTAGGGCCCTCCGTTCAAAAAGGAAGTATTCAAAACCCAATAGAGAGGACCCCGAATGATCAAGTGCGTCAAAGTAGTTTAACATATAGGGTCCCCGTCAAGAGCGTAGGGCCCTCCATTCAAATAGAAAGTACCCAAAACCCAATGAAGAGCGCCCCGAATGATCGAGTGTGCACGAGCAGGTTGACAAATAGGGCTCCCAACAAGAGCGTAGGGCACTCCATTGAAATGGGAAGCACCGAAGACCTTATGTGAATGGCCCCGGAATGATAGAGCGTGCCCCGGCAGTTCAGCAGAAGGGGCTCGAGAAGAACGTAGGGCCCTCCATTCAAATAAGAAGTACCCAAAACCCAGTGCGGAGGGCCCCCGAATGATGGAGCATACCCGACCAGTTTATCACGTGGCCTAGACAGGAGCGTAGGGCCCTAAATTCAAACGCCAAGACCCAATGTGCAGGGCCCCCGGGCGATTCCGTGTGGCCGAATCGGCGAGCAGATGGGGCCCCGGCGAGAGTGTAGGGCGTTCCGTTCAAATATGAAATACTCAGGACACGATGTAGAGGGTCCCGAAGAATCGAGGCTGCCATTGTAGGTAAACAGATAGCGCTCCCGGAAAGTGCGGAGGGCCCCCATTAAAAAAGTACCCAAAACCACATTTAAAGGCCCTTACGATCGAATGGGCGCGAGCATCTAATCAGAAGGGGCCCCGACAGGAGCGTAAGGCCCTCCATTCAAATGAGAAGAATCCAAAACCCGGTGCAGAGGGCCCCCGAAAGATGGACTGTACCCGAACAGGTTATCAGATGACCCCAATAGGAGCAGAGTGTCCGAAATTCAAATACCAAGAATCAATGTGCAGGTCCCCCACCCCCCGAAGCAATCCAGTCTGGCCGAAGAGGCGAACGGAGGGGGCCTCAGTCAAGTGCGTAGGACCGCACTCAAATAGCACGTGCCCAAGACCCAATGTAGAGGGCTCCCAAACGATTGCATGTGCCCGAGCGGGTTATCAGATAGACCCCCAAAAAACGTAGGGCCCCCATTAAGAAAAGAAGTACCCAAGACCCAGCGTGAAGGGTCCCCGAACGACTGGTGTGCCCAAGCAGGCTGATAGATGGGCCCCCGGCAAGAGTGCAGGGCCCTCAATAAGTGACAGAGAATTGGAAGCGCCCTAGACCAATGAAGATGGCCCATGAGCATATCGCAAGCGTGTCGGTAGGTTAACTGAGACCCACGTAAAGGGCTCCTGAGCAACCGAGAATACCCCGGCAGGTTAAGATATGGGACCCAGCTATAACCCACAGAGCCTTTCTGGCGAGTGGAAAAAATGCGTGGAAGGGCCCGTGATTGACAAAAGTGCCCCGGCACGATAGCAGGAAGGGCCCCAAAAACAGCGCTGACCCCCCCCCCCCCCACCGAGCAAGTGCAAAGAAGTAAAGCGCAACGTGTAATGAGGCTTAAGATTTCCAGTTCACAACTCTTTCAATCACTGAGTTTTTTTTTACTTCTCATAGGTCCCTCACTTTTGCTTGCACCTGTTCTTGGTCGTCTAAAAGTCCAGAAATATCCAGTTTTGTTGCATTCTGTGTTTTAAAAAACTGCACCTGTTCGGCCAGCGATGGGCACCCTCGGAGCCAATGGGCCCTTTAGGGCGCAAGGGGGGGGGGGTGACATGGCCTCGTGCCCCTCCCCCTCTGGATCCGCCCCTGTGTAGAAGAGCACGGCTGAGGCTGACCAGGCGTTGACCTCCTCCCAATTGAAGGCACAGCCTATCGGTCGGGCCACGAACATCTGGAATGAGAAGCCGCGAACCTTTAGAACGAGCAGCAGGACGCGCAGCAATCGATGCTGTAAGATCAACAATCTGACATAGCCGCGCGCCTTTTCTTTAGGTCAATGGCTCACCACGCAGCCTGTTCTAGATGTCTCAGCGCAGGCTCTGCGTAATGACGAGCCGGGGTCGGCTCACCAGATGCCCGTTGTCGAGAGTGAGACAGTCGCGCTGGTCGAGAACGGACGTAGCAGCTGGGCGAGACCGGATTGTGTCGCGGGAATTCCTCCGGGCAGCGTCCTAGAAAAGAATTGAGGTACCCTGTAACTGCAAGATTCCGCCCTCGTCATCTGAATGACCTAAATGCTGTCCTTGGAATTAGACTGTGGATTTTGGTGCGGTGTGCCCTGCTCAGCGCCCTGGTCGTCCGCCATGGAGGCGTTGACAACCGAGTGGGAGAGAGCGTCGCACGTGCAACGCCCCCTCTGGCCGCCACTAGCTCGCCGTGACGCCTGTCGGGCAAGCAGCTGATCATGAAGCTGGTGGCATGACGTCGGAGGCTCAAGCATCAGTCGCAGTCGCGGTTTTTATGTCGGCCAGAGCGTTGCTGTTGAGCAATGGCAGGATGAACAGGTGGTGATTAGTGCCGACCTTGAGGAAGTGGAGGCCAGCAAGGAGGCATTTGGGTCCACTGAAGTGATGCTCAGGATCTCCACCTCACTAGTCGAGTAGTTGACTTGGCGTGAGACAGAAAGCCCACAGGTTGGTGCGCACTTTTCAGTGATTCCGATTGAAAAGGTGCTAGCCTTGTCACTAACCAACAATCAACAGTTTGAAATTTGTTGACGCGGTTCAGAGAAGTTGATTTGCTGGAAGTAGAACGCGGTGACTGGTCACTGCGTTGAAGACTCCAATGCTTCATGTTCGTTCTACCTCCGGCAAATCAACAACGCCGCGTCGAGTGTCGTGCTTTTTACTGCAAGCTGACTTTAAAGGTTAGGTTTCTACCTGGCCAGGACTCAGCTTTACTGTCAGTATATTCCACAACCCGTTCTAAGCGAGTGGACGGGTTGTTTATTCGCGTCAAATTAGGCATTTTGAGATAATAAAACAAACAACAGAAAACAAAATGCGGTAATGAGATGCACGATACATGAGGCGAAGTATTAGTATCACGGATGGATTAATTGAGCTGGCGCCAGTGTCTACTGTGCTGGTGTGTACACAACATCTCAGTTGATTCTCCTGACGTCATCAGGCGTAACCCAATCCTGATAAGCACTGCATGGTGTCAGGCTACCAACTGTGTACGCGTCACAACCAGAAATTCCAGGGAGCAAAGTCTGTTTATGACGGAATTTGCTCCCTGCATCCGAATATGCGTGCTTGAGACCCAAAGGTGCAAACAGGCACTGTTTTAACAATGTAAGCTTGGTTTGTTAGGTAGGACTGTCTTACCAGTGCCTGCTGGTAAAATAAGGGGTAAACATCGTCAGAATAAGAGGTCCAAACTCCTGATGCTTTATGCAAGATATCCGAATGTCGGAGAGCACTCTAGGCATCTAGTTCCACGGATTCGCTTGATCCGAGCTTGATTTGCTTCTGTCATGCGGCTTCCGTCTGTGAGGTGCATCGAACGTCACAGCTTGTCGTGGATCTGATCAGTCTCCGTTCCTACCGGTTTTTCCGGCAAAACGGTGCAGCGAAACACACAATCTTGGCTTAGAAGCCATCGTTCCTTTCGTTGACGATGTGACGTGATTGATTTTACGTTTACCCTTTTCCGAAGCAGACGAAGCTCATCGTGTTTCAGGTGACGACAATGTCTGCTTCGACTTTACCGTGCCGAAGAAAGTGCCGACATATGCGTTTCTACGCGCAACTGTCCGTTCTGGATTATTTTGGTCGACACGGCAGTTAAAGGTATGGGAAAATCTGAAAACGTTCGGAACTGTTTGCAACTAAACACGGTCCCGCATGTGAAAAAATATATTTGAGCGTGTCTGAGTGTATATGTAAGTGAGCGTATCTCTTATTTGTCAATGGCTTATGGTCAGATTTATCTTAGCGTCCACACCTTGCATGCAGATATCACAGATCACACGTAGTACTGATGCGCGCTCCTCAAGTTTTGGGGTGCTGCGTCAGACACACAAAACCGTGCTAGGTGTAAAGAAGCTCATGGTTCATCCTGTCGGAGGGTGAACTTGGTCAGCTGTGCATAGCGTCATTCGCTCGGCGCAACTGAGTGCAAAGGCTTATCTGGCAATTCACATGAATGACAAGCTTATCTGAATGTAGTAGCAAGTTTTATCACTGACCTCCGGTGACGTGATCGAGCTTACCGAAATGCTGCAAATCGTCTTCCACAGCTTCGTCTGTTGCCCTACACGCTGGTGACGCTGGTTCAGACCGACAAGTCCAAGTACAAGGCCGGCGATCTGGTACAGTTCCGCGTGGTGACGCTCAAGAATGACCTCACTGTCATGGAGGAAGTGGTGAGTATACCGAGAGCGATCCTCCCGGACACCGAATGCGCTCTAACCCGGAAGACAGCCTCATAGTTCACATGGAGCTCCCGATTACAGTTTATTCGAGGGATGTGTGGTGTGTTGGCAGCTTTCTTACCTCACTCACCACGCGGCTGACGGAATGGGACGGTTCAGAGTTGTGCCAGATGACCTCGGTGACCTCGACAAGGTTGGGGGGGGGGGGGAATATGCCCGTGGTAGGGGAAAAGCGAAAACTCAGCAGCATACCTCTCATCTTCCACGTGTATGGAAAAGTTACCACATTAAAGGGTTTCTTTTGATGTGGATGTGGAGGGCGAACCACCTCACTGCCCGCTCCTCCTCCCAGGTAAAGCTGTACGGCTACACGACTGCGCGTACAGGTAAAGCCACACGACTTCAGGGTAATGTTTCACAGCTGTCTCTCTCGGCCGTTCAGGTGGACCAGATCTTCATTACAACACCAGGCGGTACAAGACTGGCACAGTTCGACAAGGTCGCCACGCGGTCCGGAATCATTCAGAAGAAGTTCCAGCTGACGGAAGAGCCTCCCCTTGTGAGTACCTATTTGCACGACCCACAACCCGCGGGCGTACACACGGAAAGGTAATCACGGCCTATAGACTACCACAGCTGGTGTCATAAGCACCAATGCCCGCGACGGCTTTAGCATTTCAGGTTAGAAAGTGGCAGTGAGTCGATTCAAGCCCACACATCCGTTCGCGTAACGAAAAATCGCAAATTCTGGTGACGGTTTAAACCACTCGGCGGTTGCTTTTAATCAGTAAGAGGGAGCCGCGCTGCTTTGAAACAATTCAAAATAACACCAATTGAAAAAAACGTGACACCATATAAGCGCGTCACATTTATTAGCGAAATGACACAGGCAACGGTGGGTCGGCTCATACCCTGCACTTAATCAACACTGACAGTCTTGTGACGGTCACGGCATGACATAAGGCTCGTACCCTGCACTTAATCAACACTGACAGTCTTGTGACGGTCACGGCATGACATAAGGCTCGTACCCTGCACTTAATCAACACTGACAGTCTTGTGACGGTCACGGCATGACATAAGGCTCGTACCCTGCACTTAATCAACACTGACAGTCTTGTGACGGTCACGGCATGACATAAGGCTCGTACCCTGCACTTAATCAACACTGACAGTCTTGTGACGGTCACGGCATGACATAAGGCTCGTACCCTGCACTTAATCAACACTGACAGTCTTGTGACGGTCACGGCATGACATAAGGCTCGTACCCTGCACTTAATCAACACTGACAGTCTTGTGACGGTCACGGCATGACATAAGGCTCGTACCCTGCACTTAATCAACACTGACAGTTGTGTGACTGGTCACGGCATGACATAAGGCCGTTGAGAAGGTGGTGAGGCAAGTAACCGTACACTCAGCGGCTTACCTGCCCACCGGCTTACCACCGGTGACCCAACTATCACATCTGACTCGCCAATACTGTAAATTCCACCAATAGATACCGTCTCAATAGACACTTCCAGTTCTCTGAACACGGGCTGCGACCTGCATCATTAGGGGCAGCAGCAGTGTTTCTCGAGCTAACCGCACCTGTCAACATAGCACAGCTTTTGTTAAGACTTTAGCACCATTCTCGCACCTCGTCTGTTGGTGCCAAATGGGTGATCGTAGGGTTGCAGGATATTTCGATCAACACATCAAGTGGTCTCTGTGCACATTTTATCCCAGGGTCTTTGGTTTGTTTCCCTCGAAATAGTCCCAGGCACTGCATTCGAATTCGCCAAGTATTCAGAAGCCAACTAGCGTGGTGAATTTGCACCCTGGGTGGTTGTTAAGGTCTTCATTGAATGGCTGCCAGTCGTGACACTTTTCAAAGTATCCCGCAAATTAGAATTAGCCACATGCCACCAGCAACACACGGGTCTTTAAAGACTTCAACTTGCGTATCGTGCTCTCCCAAACCAGTACGCAATGAGACCTGTGCTGCTTTTTTCTTGCTATAGAAATTGACACGTCATAGTTGTTGCTAAATATATTGCTTTCTATTTATGGTCCACCTCGCTGCAAGTGGGGAGCTCATGATGCACCACAGTTGTTGAACGCTTGTATCAGTGTGTAGGCAAAGGCCGGTTTTATGTCGATTAAACACTTCAAAGCTGGTCTGTTTATGTCCTTTCAGCTTACACAAACTATGTGTCGCTTCATAACTTTTCAACCAAATTTGGTTCTTTTTCACACATTTAGTACTTCCATAACGTATGATCCAGACGCTGCTGTTAAAGAGAATGTTCCTCTTTTCAAGATATCGAAGCAAGCATCAGCTATGATAAAACTGACTTACTCAAAACTCTTGGTATATTTATGGATGAAAAAGACTGCTTTAAACAACACAGTTTCTTTATTTGGTAAATATTCTGCTCAATACGTCACTGTTTGATTATAATGAACTCTTTGTATGACGTTGTTAAGATGTTTTCAAACTAGTCGTGCGAACTTACGACCCTAGCACTCCTTTCTAGTGCTTTAAACTAGCCGAGGCAATGATATCAAGATGTAGTCTAAGGTCAATACATAATATGTGTGATATTAAGTCGCATAAATAGCCGAGTTTAAACCGCTGAGTTAATTACCATTAGTAGTTCGTTAATTTACCCTTTCCAAAGTGTTTCTGCATATTTATCCGTGAGTTTGAAGGGAATGTTCCACACTTTAACATATTAGAGTATATTAGAGCGTTAGATATCATGATATCATGATTTAACATTAGATATCATGAAACGAGCTCATTTATGTTTATAATTGGTTGGTAGGATTCTAAGGGGAAAAGACTGTACTGGGCAACACAATTTAACTATTATGTAGACATTTTCAACGATACGTCCTTCTTTCACTGCATTATGGAACGTTCCTACAACACTCACTCGTCGTTTTTCAATCTTCCGAGAGATGGCAGCATGGGCCGGTGGTGTTGGCTGAGCCAAATTTGTTATGTGCTCGTATACTGGGCCTTTCTCGCGGTGCTGTTGCACAGGTGTCCATGAGATGAGTAAACGATGTTTACTCGTACGCATGTACTCAAATTTAGTGCTTTCTTAAAATCGATTGCAAGCTTCATTGCTTTAACAATTATGAACACTGTATAACGTATTGTATTATGTAGCACAAAACGTAGTTCGTCTTGGAATCTTGCATAGCTCCCACGAGATTAGTTGATTGCCAACTGTCGCAGTGATGTCGGAAAATCGTGCTCACGAACGCCAGATATGAACGACGATAATTTCATTTTTCCTGTCCTTGCACGCCGCATGACCGGTGGAATGACAGGATATGAATCATGTTTTTTATGAAGTCATATACGCCTGGGTAGCCTTGATATAAACTCCATCAAATAGCCTGCACATCTTTGCGGGTGGGTAGCTCATAAAGTACAGGGTTTTAGGTCTTAGAAGAGACATGACTGTGACCTACACCAAATGGCCTTCAATATGATTATATGAGTTCAAAACCTCATGTAATATGCATCGCACAGTGCGGACCTTTGCCACACATGTGAGACATTGCACCGTCGCACTCCAGCGAGATGTTTCACTGTCGTTACCCTGTCGCACCAAACTTGCAGGGCAGATGGACCATCCACGTAAAAAGGGGTGACAGCATCGTGAGACAGCCGTTCGAGGTGGAGGAGTACGTGCTGCCCCGCTTCGAAGTCACCATCGCTGGTCCCAAATACATCACCCGCGGAGCCAACACCGTTACCCTTAAAGTCTGTGCCACGTGAGTTCCCGGCTGCGCCATAATGTGCAAGCAAAGGCTGTTGCTACTGTTTGTGCCGAATCTTGCTACCCATATTTAGTGATGGTACTGTGTAGATCGCAGCAGGAGATGGTTTGTTGGCATGGTTGCAGGTAATCTTAGTCACACAGTCCTTTGAGAGCGTGTTTATATGTTTCTAACAAACAAAGCAAAGCAATCGGCAAAACAACCGACGGTGGTGGTCTACAGGAACACCGAAGCTGAATGCAGGCAGATGCCGAGTGGAAGAAAATAACTAAACGTATATACACAAATAGTTATGTTCAAATCACAAATCACTCTGGAGAAATTCAGTTGCACCTTAATTACAATTTGAATTATGCATATGACATACATTTGCGTTACTTAATCATCAAATAAAGCAATAAAAACAAGCGTTTCAAAAGTGAAAGAGACAAGAAACCGAAGTAACTAGATGACGACATTACAGGATGTCAAAGGGCATCAGCGTTTTGCAATCTGTTAAGCCAATCAAACCAGAAATGAGGTATCAGGCTATGAGGCAGCCCAAATGTTTTGCACTCTGCGGTTGTATATACGATCATTTATAACACTTTTCAACATTGGAGATGTTAACAATGCCATCGTAAACAATCAGGGGTGGGTTTTTTCTGCAACGCATATTAGACATCGTTCAACACTCTCCCGGATGGAGGGTCAGTTTGAGACCTTGATGTTTTAAAAAAAATAAATTTCGGACAGCGCGGAGAGGCCTACCGAGCTTTGCATAACATTGGGCAATTGAATAACACAGCAGATCATTCGGCATGCCAAATAAGTATACCTTGTAAAGGCACTGACATAAGGTAGGTCAAAGGTAGGTCAGGCACTGACATAAGGTAGGTCAAAGTCTGGCCGTGGATATCAACAAAGGTAATTTCCAGAACATCTTTCAGTGTGAGGCGAACAAAGGTGCTTGGCGAAGCCAACGGCTTTCAGACCCTTAGGGAGTAAAATGATTTAATTCAGGATTACATTAAAAGTTCATTGACGCAGGGTGGGTTATGAAGGTCTAACCAATGTGGAAATCAACCTTCTTTTTACTGGGGGCTTGCCTCATGACGTGGAGCTCTGGTCCCAGAAAGCCATCCAGGCAAAATTTTTGCCCAAAATCTTCATAAAGACACTTCATGCATGTGTAGTTGTCCAGCCAAGCAGAGCTCTCAAGCTTTTGCTGATGTGGCTAGCGTCCGCCAACGCAGACATGCTCATGTCATTCGAGAATAAAGCATTATTGTAGTCCCACGTACCACCAAAGTGATGCTGATGAGTGCACTCTCTTCGCCAGCATTTATTAACAATGGCTCAACCCATGCATCTGCACCTGGACGCCTCCATTAATTACGTTTGCATTGCTCGTTTTGTATCTGAGCTGGGCATTATCACGCAGTGTGTCTCAGTTGCTTCAGCTAATGTGAGCAGCCATGTCGCCAATGTCATGCCATTTCAATGGTGTCTATAAGCCAGCCGTGTGCCGCTCCGCTGGTGCTCTGCGCTGTGTCTATAAGCCAGCCGTCTGCCGCTCCCATGGGGCTATGTGCTGTCTATGAGCCAGCCGTCTGCCGCTCCCATGGTGCTCTGTGCTGTGTCTATGAGCCAGCCGTGTGCCGCTCCCATGGTGCTCTGCGCTGTGTCTATGAGCCAGCCGTCTGCAGCTCCCATGGTGTTATGTGCTGTGTCTATGAGCCAGCCGTGTGCCGCTCCCATGGGGCTATGTGCTGTCTATGAGCCAGCCGTCTGCCGCTCCCATGGTGTTATGTGCTGTGTCTATGAGCCAGCCGTGTGCCGCTCCCATGGGGCTATGTGCTGTCTATGAGACAGCCGTCTGCCGCTCCCATGGTGTTATGTGCTGTGTCTATGAGCCAGCCGTCTGCCGCTCTGTCGCCTTCGCTGTGCGCCAGCGAGCACGCGATACGGCTGTCCGGCGTCAGCCATGATACCCGGCGCTCTGCCAGCCATGACGTCATGATGCCCGGCGCTCTGTCACAGCTACACGTTCGGGAAGCCGGTGTCGGGCGCCGCTATGAAGCTGTTGGTATCTCGGCCGTCAACGTTCTTCTACCGACGCTGGGGCGCGCCAAGGTTCGAGAAGAACCTGCCTTCGAACGTCAAGTTCGCGGAGGAGGTCCGTTCTCGATAGCGTATGGGCATACGCCCTCGGCACTGGCTCGCACCTGGGCTGATGACACACTAAAGTAATGCTGGGGTCGATCATCTGCAGCTCTAGCCAGGCACGAGAGCTGAGAGGACTTGAGCACGTGACGACGCCACGGCTGAAGCTGACGTTGACCTTATGTGACCCGTTTGTGGCTTGGTGAGCCGGCGTTGAAACTCTCAACTATCACATATTCATTTCCTTGTGTACTGCGTTCATTGAGTCCGTTACGTGCGGCTCCCTGGCCATGCGGATATTGACGGCTGGCGTGTTAAAGCCTGATATTGCCTCAAGTTTGTAGCTCAATACTATGCCCCGTTCGTTCACGGTATACTGCTGGCTCCAATAATCACGAAATGTTTCATCTGTGCAGTGCGAATGAACAGCTCTCGAGCATGATGACAGTCCGATGTAGACGGCAATTTTGCGCCCAGTCAAGCAGGGCCCATGCGTAAAATGCACAGAAATAAAGAGGCTTTCTCAATCGACAGCATGTCGTCAATTTGAGCGCGAGGCTAATGCAGTATTGCTTTATTTCAGACGGACAAGAACGGCTGTGTGGAGATCGACGTCGTGTTGGCGAAAATCGGACTAGGAAGTGCCTCCACTGGGCGTGTCCATGCGAGCAGAGTGAGACTAGCAAAATGTTTCAGACAAGGACTTACTGCAGATGGAAAACTAAACTGGACGATTCCCGCCCCCCCGAATGATGTTCTTATTTGTGCACAAGTCAGTTTAAATTAAAAATGACCTTAGCTCTTAACAACTTAAGTGCGAGGACAGAAGTCTAAAT